AATATTAAATCTGCCACATGTATCATTCCACTGAACTAGATTGAAAATAGAGTTTATGAAAAAACAACAAGCAAAAGTAGAAAGTTGCATGACTCTATATTGTTTTACACTAGCATGTACAACTATTATACAACTAATAGCAGATTTAGATGATAATTAAAATGCTGTTGTTAATCCCTCACTTTGTGGAGTATTGCTTCTATATTGAGAACCTGAAGCCTGATGAGCAATAATGAATAATGGATAGGAATAAAATCAATGAAATGAGAAATGGCTTACACTTTGCAGAGATGGTGTTGTATAAAGATTATTATACAAGTGATATGAGGATAAGGAAGCTACAATCAAATAATTCTAGATAAGCAAGGTCAAGAACTGAGTGCAAAAATACTGCTGAAAGTTATTGGAAACATACATTTAAAAAGAAAGATATCACATTTTCCAGCAAAGTTTCAGTTCATTTTATACTATCCCAGTATAGTTGTCCTTTATTTCAGTATAGATATATACACACACACGTATATATATTACATATACATATATGAGTGTGTATATATATGTAATATATACATATATACACACAAATATATGTGTATATTATATATGTGTATATATATATGGAAAAGTTTCAGAAAGGTTGAACAAAGTTGCTTTCATTCTCAACGTTGCGTATTATTCTTACATCTCTAGTCTCTTAGAGATTTTTAAAGAGAACTGGAAATAGACAAAATACAAGAGCAAGGGGAAGAAAAAGATTCTAGCATTATAAACCCTAGTGTATTTTGGAAGATCATTTTAAACAAGTGGTCTGGATTGTGAATTAATGTTTTTCCCCTGTTGACTCATTTTCACTCTGTGAGCAGAGAAATATTTATTTTAATGACCAGTTTTCAATTTCTGCTTCTATTCAGGTCTTAAGCAACAACGATCTGCTATAAAAGCAGGCTATTTTACCTTCATGTGTTGAAACTTATCCAAAAATTCTCCCCCAGGGGTGAGTGATGGTTCAAAAGAATTTGACACCACTGAAAGATCTCCATTACATGTCACTGAACTGAACTAATTCATTTACGAGCACGGCTTCTGATTCCAGCATTTCATGCCTTCCTATCTACTATTTTTCTCATTCACTTGACTTTTTCTAAGTAACCCTTTTTGTCTCCCACACCTACTGTATTATCAAGCTTAGGACTGTACACTGTTAAAAGATGCACCATATAAAACAATTAACTATGGAAACTGCTCAATTAAAATTCATTATCACTACTGCATGCCTAACACAAAACCCTGTCATTCATAAGCCTTTGGTGCAAGGCTTGTAAACATTTTTAATGTTGCTGATGACAATAAAATAATTAATACTGTTATTTGTGGTTAAATTCACATTCTACCCTCATATTCTTCTATTTCACTCCCGACCCATGGTACTGTGTGCTTGTTTTTAAGCATTCTATTTCTTTGTATAGAAAATTAATTCCCTTTAACTGGAATCTTCTTATATCTCTACCTTCAAGAGTAAGCTCAAAAGTGAGATTATTTTGAGAATTAAATAAAGTATTATACGCATTGCTCTTAATCAAGTACCTCATCCATAGTAAGTGCAGAATAGCAAGCTACTACTATTATTATTTACAATTCCATTCTTCACTTTAGGTTCCAATTTCCTTTAGGCAAGAGGTTATGCTTGTTTCTTCATATCCCTTGCACATAGTACAGTAATTGGCTTAATAGGCGAATACACTCCACTCATAATTGATATTTTCAAATAATTACACGACTATATTCTTCAAGAATTGTTTTCAAACAACAACAAACACTTCTGCAAAATCAATTAATTTGCTCAATTCTTTAATACAATTGGTAAATATAGTTAAAAATGTCCTCTTAAAGCATAATTTTACTATCTGTTTATTATATCATTTTAAAAAATACTCATTGGAGTATTAATTTAGCTCAAGTAAAATTAACAAAATTTTGAATTAGTGAAGTTTTGATGAGATTCTACTATATATTTGAACATATAAAACAAGAACTACACTAAATTGGGTTAAATTATATTCTGAAAAAGGTTTACAGAAAGGTAACTCAAAGTTAAATAATAAAAATAATTGAAATTAATACAAACTGTTTTTCAGTAGGAAAACTACCTATACTTCTATTGCTTGCTTTATTTTGTCTTTG